CCTCCCTACACACAGAACACGCGCTGTGCGTAGGGCCCGACGATCCATGGGGGGGCCATTTTCCGCATGGGGACGCATTCTCTGCAAATGCGCAAATGATGCGCGTAAAGCACCAAGTCAGCCCAAGGCAGGAGAGAAAAAAAAGAGACGAGTAATCTGACACCGCACCCGTTACCGCAATGATTGACAGCGCTCAGTGGTCCGGCTTGACAGTGTTTGCCAAGAAAGTACCTTTACTGTTGGATTGAAATATTTGTTGATATTTGGGGTGTGTCTCTGCTTTCTGAAACGATTTTCCTTGATGGTATGATCTGGCAACAGATCCTTTACCAGGCGGTTTGTGACTGGATGCATACTGGATTCCATTTTTTGAGCATACTGGGCTCTCTTTATATGCGATTTATTTTTATTTATTTTTAAGTTGTGAATTTGGTTTATCGCGAATTGTGAAATAATGGTCTTTCTTATTTGGTCTAATAAAAATTGTTGTGGGTAGCAGGTCATTCAAAACATAATGTTTCATTGCTTTTGAATACAGGAGTGTTTTAGTAGTAATGAAATCACCATCCACATAAGATGGTATGTGGTTCTCCAGGTTGGACATCAATGCCCAGAAGGCTGTTGGTTCAAATCCCGTGTCCCGCAGAGTATCATATCACCCCTGGGCCCTGCAGCAAGGCCCTTATCCCTAGTCACTGCCCCAGGGAGCTGGATAAATGGCTTTGCTCTCACTTGGATGAGTGTGTCTAAGGGGGGGGCACTTTTGTTGGGTGCTGTGTGGCTCTGAGGCAGGGGTCCCCAACAGGCAGCCCGCAGGCCAAATCTGCCCCATGATAGTGAATTTCAAAATGATGGTCAGAATTTATCTTGGAAAACTGGAAATCTCTTTAAAAAGAAGACTTATACGTAATAAGAAAAAAACCTAAATGCCTATATGCTTAACAGTTAATTGATCATACTTCCATTTTCTTGTACAGACATATCTGTAAACAATCTTTCAATAAATCAAAGGAATTAAAATAAATAACACTTAAAATAGCAGTCAAACCTGATTAGGAAAAAACATTAGGAAATAAAATTATCAGTTGTTTAGTCCTAGTTTTAATAAAATCACTTCTTGGAAGTGCAATTTAATCAGAAACACAGCCTTGCCACAACTTTAGATTCAAGAGTCCTTTTTAAAAATAGGGACGTCCCCCCATGTTTGCCAGTACAGAGGAGCATAAACCATGTTAACCCAACAACATTCAATACTTTCAGCCTCGCTGTATGGATTTCATATACCATTGCAGCCTCTGCACCATAGAGCTACTGACCACCACAGAGACTTGAACTGCAGCGATAGCAGTTCCAGCAGAAGTAGGTGTTGCTTAACCCAGAGGAAATTCCCTCTCACCAGAACACTGCCCCCTGTCTGGGAGATGAGGGAGAGGATTAAGAAGATCATGCTGATCATCAGGGAGCCCATGGAGCAAACCCAACGCACCCAACAACAGGTGTATAATTGGCCTGTCCAAGCACAGCAATCAAATCCTCATCCCAAACATCTCCTGCATGATCCTGGCCTCCTGGCAGAGACCTCACACCATGGTGGAAAAGGCGGGTTTTGTGACCGACCAGGTCTGGGATCCCAGGCAGCCGCCACTCCTCTGAGCTGCTTCACCACGTCAGTCTGCTGACGCAGTGGATCGAGCTGCAGCCCCTCCTGCACAGGGCCTCCGGGGGAGGTTCATACATCAGGAACCTCAGGAGGTCATCAGCAGCTACCATGTTCTCCAGCCTCTTAGGCCACACCCCCTGTCACATGACACCTCATGGAGACGCCCCCTGGGGGTCGCCATCCGAAGGCCGTACAGGATCCTGGAGCCCTGTCACCCTCATCACTGCGTAGCTCCACTGGGGACGCACTTGGGGGGCTGATGTGAATCTGCCGCACACTACAGGTGTCGCTCTGGACTGTGCAGGTGGACAACAACAGCGGGGTTCTGACAGTCGGCCCAGAAACCTCCTGTAAGGAATTATAACGGGAAACGGCTGGTGGTCACTTACTGCCCCACCGAGGGGCGGGATGGTCTTCCCCAGCAGAGCTGAAACCATGAGGGTCCAGGGTAAGCCAGCCTGGGGGGAGATCGCCCTGAGGGCCCCCTGCCTCCTGTGCCAC